AGTTTCATATTCAGTGTTGAACAAGTAACCAGTTTGATATTCAGCGTTGAATAAGTAACCAGTTTGATATTTGAACATGTTGAATATCAAATGGTTACTTGTCACTTGTTCAACATTGAACAAGTAGAACATGTTGAATGTAACGTCAAACAAGGACTATGTTACTAAACTAACTTCACACCACCAGCCTATAAAGTATAAGAGCTACACCACAGTACCCGTGTGCATTAGGCCCACTTTACAGTAGGGTAGTGCAGTATGGTTCATGTGCACTGTTGTGACGAAACTTGCAACCGAAACAGTTAAGCATGAGGGTCCCAAGCTGTGGAACTCATTAGGTTTATTAAAAGATTTACCCATCTTGTCGCTATTCAAACAGAAATATAAGAAGTGCTTACTGAATAATTACAAGGGAAATAATTGAGCCTTATAAGTTACAGGTTTTATTATTTTATTTGTCTATGAATTCATGTACACGTACTTATATACACTTTTTCTTTGTTAATTGTTATATGTAGATGATTTATCTGTAATGTTTTTGTCCTACATGTCCAGTTATGTCTGTACAGGAGCCCCTACTCGACAAGCTGTGCTTCCTAGTGGTCCCTCCACCTTTGTGTATGTGTGTGTGTAGAAATAAAGTAAAGTACAGTAAAAAGTAAAGACTGTAGATCAGAAGGCCTCCATCTAGCTAGGCCAGGCCTCCGTGCTGGAAAGAATGAGTCACACCCGCACCCGACCTGGCCGTCCGACCAATGTTGTCCACAGCGATTCAATAAAAAAATTCTGATACTAAGAAAATGACTGTATACCTGTTGTATCAGTTCTGGCGTTCCCAGCCTCCACGAATCATTTTGCAGGGCACTCATAATTTTTAGATTTCAAGTCCTCGCTGACTCCAACAACCTTGATTTAGAATTGAAGATTCAGTTTCTCTTCGGCTGTGTTTACAATGACAATGAGGGCGCTGTTGAAGAAAAATCTTATTTAATGTAGAAGTCGTTTAGATTTAAAATGTTGTTAAAATCTATTTTGTAAAACCTGTATCAAAAGTCTTGAAATAATATATGAAAGACTTCACATATTATATTAAAGCAACTTATAGGTAATTTTTTATTTAAATTAATATTTTTAGTGTTTGCTAATTTACTCTGTATGACAGTGGTAATTCAAAACCAGCGTCTGTCAAAATGGCTGCGCCCATGGGCAAGAATGAAATCACTTTAGGCTTCGTAGAAAAGGCAGAAAACTGGAGACTTTCGAGACGGTTTTTCCCAAGTAAAGTAGGTGGTAAACCTGCTTGGTTATCAATGAAAGATATTCCGAACAGTGACAATCTAAAATGTAGAAATTGTGGCATTGTTTGCATATTTCTAATGCAAGTGTATTGCCCCATTTCTGAACTGGACACCTGTTTCCACAGGACAGTGTTTATTTTCTGCTGTAGAGATCCAGCTTGTCACACACACGCTAGCAACTCAGCTTTCCTTGTTTTCAGGAGTCAGCTTCCCAGGGCAAATGAATTTTATGATTATGAACCACCAGACGAGGACAGCAGCCCTGGCAGCAGTCTTGGCGCAGCCGACGAGGGTTTACTCTGTGAAGTGTGCGGCTGTTTTGGGGGAAAGAAATGTGCAAAGTGTCATGTGAAAAGTTACTGCTGCCGAGAACACCAGCTTGTTGACTGGAAAGCTGGACATAATAAGGAGTGTGGTTCATTAGCAACAGGTAATTAAACCATGAAGGCTCATAATGATTAGTTATGCTTTAAAATACTTATGGTAATGGGGCAGCATGGACATCAAAGAGTTTTGCAAAATGGTGGGTAGTAACCAATGAGCCTGTCAGAGGATCGGATTACACAATAATTTCTTTGATCAGTACGTATGTGCATACGTTCATAAGCCGTATCACAATTATGGCATGGGTGACTTTACACAATGCCTTTCTACCATTGTGTAAAATCACCCATGCAGTATTTGCGATAAGGCTTATTGCAGTTGTTCTCATTGGTTGCTACCTGCCATTTTGCGAAACTCCCGGATGTCCATGCTACCCCATACCCAGCTTGGTGGTGCTGGGAATATTGACCGTGTTAAGTGCAGTTTTGCAAACCTTACAATGTCAATTTTCACTCCATACTGGTATGAATTTAAACTTGTTTCAAACACTGTTTACAGGTTTAGCAGCCACAGGAAAGGAAAAGATTCTTTTTCCAGAATTTGAGCTGGTCACAGAGTCTGAAGACTACAGTCACGAAGATAAGGATGACACTGGGACAGAGGAATGCCATGTTGCAGAAGACAGACAGGGACTCGGTGTGGAGGAACTGGAGAAGATGGCACTGACAGAGAGCAAGGAAGACCGACAGTTTGCCAAGTTTAAGAATCGTACAGACTATGAGCCAGATCAGGTAATGTTTGATGTACATAAAACCTGAAGTTATGGTAATGGCACTGCCAGAGGATGCAATATATCAACTTATGTTGTAATGAACAGAATGAAATAATGTTTTCGAGTATGAATGAGCACTGAAAAGCAGGAATTTCTTATATTACTTCTTTTGGTTCTCAGTTGCAATTTTTTCAATGAATATTTTGTATGTGAAATTTTTATGCTTATGTTTAGAGGAACCTGCAGTGGCATATTACAAGTGATAACTTGCATGCACATGTACATGATAGCTGACGAAACGCTAGTCTTGGGCCAAGACGGCAGAACTTGATAGTGGACTCGATCGCGCTCATTTCTATTGCACCCTTTTGTGACTTCATTTCACCAATCGACAGCTAGTTCTACCGTCTTGGGAATCTCCTCCAATCCAAGGCGTGGCTTTTGTATGCAAAATATTAGTTTAACATGAATATTCACAATTGATCCTAGGATGCAAAATAGGATGCAAAACAGGCTGTGGGAGCATTGTAGCAGGTCCGCATCAATGGCGTCAGCTTGTTGTTTCTTCAGTTTTGTTATATGAAGTCTTTCACAGCCGTACTTCTTCGCTTCTTGCTCCAATGCATCGACTGTGGCAATTATCAACAGTGACAGTGTTAGTACTTCAGTAGTACGTTCGTTTCGCATCACGTAGTAATGCACATTACATTGTGTGGTCCACAATTTACAATGCAGAGTACTATTATGTAGGCCATGTGTTGTAAGTCATTGATCCATATTCTTCACATACAGATTCAACTGGAATTTCCTAGGTGCTGATTGGTTGCTCCGGAAATCCGGAGGAGATTCCCCAGACGTTAGAACGAGCCGTCGATTGGTGAAATGAAGTCACGAGAGGGTGCAATAGAAATCGGCACGCGCGGCATGTGCTTGATCAAGTCCCCTATCGAGTTCTGCCATCTTGGCCCAAGACTAACGAAACCCTGACTGCTCCTATCACACAAATTGCCATATTTGGAAATGGATGCTTGTCCAGTTTCAATGTGGACCAAGAATACAACTATCGGAACTGTCAAAGTTCACCTTTCGAAAATAATGCTTGCTTCCTCTTTGACTTTGGAAAAGAGACATGCATAAATGTGCTAACAATGCTTCATGGGAATTTTGCACCCTTTTAAAATGAAGCCATGGATTTCTCAGGGGACAAAGTTCTCCACACGTTGTATTCCAAAAGGTCTGACCAGAATGATGGGACCAAAGGTCCAACAAGGCAAAGAGGCTTAGGAAATGGTACTTCGTTAACCATTCTCCAACGAGTCCCTCTGGCACTCCCTTCATCCAAATCTCAAACAATGACATAGCAGGAGAGCTGTACCCACATTTTTGTTTCTGTATGTCTATTTATGCATGTAGGTCATCAGGTATCAGCGTGGAGGCCAACCACTCCTAATATCAACTGAAAACCAACCGCAGCAAAAAGACATTCCACCCTGCACCAGCTGTGGTTCTGTAAGGCAGTTTGAATTTCAGGTACAGTGCCAGCAGAAATATGTAACAGTTTAAAATTCCCAACAATAAATCCACCACAAATACGCTACTTCTCCACCTGTAGGCTTTATCATATATTTTATTCCAACTTGAGTAAAAATACCCTTATGTAATAAATGACTGCATTCATTATAAATATAGACTTCTAATCTCCTTTACACTTTAAAATAAATTCCATATTAACATTCATACATGCGATAGTTTCCGATTTTTTGTCAATGAATTTTCTTGGTCTAGGTGATGCCTCAACTACTGCTACACCTAGATGTTGACAGTCTAGGGCAGAGCATAGACTGGGGCACGCTCCTAATCTACACCTGTGCCAAGAGTTGCAAGGGAGTGTCTGCCTACCTGCCAGAGTTCCTGTGGAAGCAAGATGTTGCAGTATCAGACGAGTAATAGGGTCAGATTTTGGCAGATCTTAGAGGCACCAGAGGGACCTGGTTGCCTGTCTCTGTCTCCTTTACGAAGTACAATGTACTCAAATCCAATGCAATCTACTGATCCACTGAGCTTTTATGTCAACCTTTCTTTGCTTGCCATCCTTGGTGTGACCCTTAATTAAGAAACACTGACAAAGCCTGTTAAAGCCCCAAATATTATAATGGTTGAATTGTATGAACCCGAGAATAAAATAAACACACTTTAAAAATGATGGCAATTTGTTTGGCTTCAAAAACCAGAACAATATGAACAGGATTGGATAGAAAGTAAGTTTGTTGTTGAGTTGACCTGGAGCATTTATAGTTTATATGTACTCCCTTCACTGGTAATGGTTTTCGTCTGAATGGCAACCTCTTTGCTGCTTGTGTTGCCCTGCACGGCATGGGACGTCAAGCAATCCATGACAAGAACTAGCCCAAAGCATCTCAGAGAGGCATGACACGACCTGTGACAGACAGTATGAAATGTATTAATTGGATGATGCAGTGTAAAAACCAGTGAGCCAGTTCGGTATTCCAGCAGCGCATGACCAAAATGAAGTGCATCCAAGGTTATTCGGACGCCTGTGCAAGGTCTGCTCTATCAGCGCGGCCCTATGCTGACTCATATGTGTACTTTGTTCCTGAATGACGTTGCTTTTTTTGACATGCCTAATTGACTTGCTGTGATGTCACTCCATGATGACCTAAGAGTTACCGTGGTCTCAACATGGAACCAGAGATTGTCACAAGATTTCACTTCAAGGCATTTACTCATTGAAACAATGCTCTGCTCTCTCCGTGAGGACAACTCTAGTCTCCTGATGATGGCTACAGCACAGTATTAAATATGCTGAGACGGCCTCATGTTCCACTTAGTTCCTAGGAGGTTATTACATAGTGTAAACACAAGCTTCACTATTATACCCCACTATGCTAAGTTTATACTAAATTTAGATCTGTTGGGATAAAAAGAGGAGTTGACAGTGTTTGGCTGTGCTCCAGAGGGTAAAATTAAGTTAAACATCCAGACAACTAAGATCTGTATAGTCAGTTTATATGGCTGCACAAGAAACCTTGTGATGTGTGAACACTTCCAGTTGGTTCTATCTATTGAATTTGATGCAGTAATATACTAATTTCAATGTCACGGTTGCTTGAAAAACTTCCATATCAAGTCAAATCAAGTACATGACAATAACTCACGTGGATGAGTCTGCATTACTTGCTTGAAGTATCTGGGATGAATCAAGCCGTTTTCGTCTCCTGGGCAAAGGATTACTCCATTTTTGGAGAGGAAAAATGACAAACCCCCTACAATGAGAAGGTAATGAGTCATTATGGAAATTATCTTCTTAAGAGAAGCTGTGCAGTGAACGTGCATCTCTACTTCACAGGATAGTAAAGGATGCTGTGACAAATAGGCAATTAACACTCAAATACTTTTGTTCACCGCTGGTCATCACTCTCGGGCTGATTTTATAGTATTCTCAACTCTTACCTTGCTAGAAAATTTGACAAGAAGTAATCAGTTCAAGACAAACCATCACATGAATTCCGCACTTAATTCATGTTCGAATACATGCGGAAATGCTTTTGTACTTGAAGATTTGAAGTTGAAATAAAGTTCAGAGGTCCATTTGACATGTCTCTTTATGTTCTTAAACCTTTTCAGGATTAGCATCGTAGGTGCTACTTAAATATCTAAGAAATGTAAACAAGTGTTTCAGAAAATATGATAGCACAAGAAAATGCCAACACCACATTCAGAATATTACCTTGTAAGGCTTTTTCAAGGTTCAGGAAAATCATCAAATCACAGGAACGCCTCATTCCTGACAAGCAGATGAAATAAAACTCCAACATGATGGAACTGTGAATGGACTTTCTGAGCAACACTCTGTGAAAATTTGTTTAGTTTTTAATTTAAAGTTTATCGGCCAATGGGGAAATTTCAAATAGCGCATTAAAACGTGATTTTTCCTTGTGTTGCTAAGGAACGGCACTTTGACAAATAAGTTTCTTTGACTTGGATTTTAAAAATAAATTGCCCTCATTACCCTTCAAAATATTCTGCATCACTAAGCAACTCTAAGCAAAATATTAAAGACTGCGACGGATTAGCAGATTATTACTGGAAACATTTGTTACAGTAACCCAGTGACTACCAGCCTCACCCCGCCTACGCAGGGACCCAAGTATAAAAAAAATCTGCCACCAATTTTGGGTTAAGATTTAAACCCTGCATTTTCCCAGGCAATCAGTCTTAACATTTGCTGTTTGAGGTGGTGATGTGGCCTCCATTATCACTTACCACTTATCACTCCATTCTCTCCTGGTTCTCCTTGTGCAAAATGGACATGGGTCCGTTTCATACGGCTCAAACCCTAACATAGATATGAAAGATATGAAGACAATTGCCAAGAGTGAATACAAATTGCCCATTTTGACTCTAACATTATCCAACAATTTTTGCTAAATGATGGCTGGTGCTTTGATGATAGAACCGAGTGCCTCATTGTTATTTTCAATACATGAGATTCCTCAAATTAACAAAGATTCTTAATCTGGTGATCTGTATCTCTCTTCAATAAACCTGAGTTCTATAAAATCACACTACTTATGAACCATCTCCAGTTTTTACCTGTAGCTTAATAGAGTCCCAGTTCTTGAGATAAGTACCATGAATGACTGTTGGATACTGTGTTGGATCAGTGATGGACACCAATTCCAAGTCTGGTAACTAAAATCAAGATTGTGCACAAAAACGTCATTCAAAATGTTGGTCATTAAAATGTCGGTCCTCTTGTATTTGGATTTCTTTTAAAGAAATTACAAAACACATCTATAAAATACATAACTTGTCTAGAGTTCACGCTATATCTGTACCTGACAGGGGTCTGTAACTTAGGTCAATGATGTGAGTCTTTGGTCTACTGCTGGAGTCTATGGCTTGGGTGTGTAAATTGGGTCTAGCCTCTGGGTCTGTGACTTAAATCTTACGGTATGTTCCGGTCATGGACTTCAGTCAGTGGCTTGGCCTATGACGTGGCCTTGTAAATCAAGTATGACATAAGGGTTTGTGACTTGAATCTGTTAATCTGGTCACAGATCTGGGTCTCTAACTTGAGGCTGTGACTTTGGCCGATAAGTCAGGGCTGTGACTCGGGCTTAGGACGCGAGTCTGTGATGAATTAATCAAATCTCATACTTGAGTGTGGGACTTGATTGCACAACTTCAGCATGTACATGTAAATCAAGCCCAGCAATCAGGTTTGAGCCGTTGCTGTTTGACTTTGGTTGGTTTGAGACTTCAGACGTTAAATCAAATCTTTGTCTGTGCTTGAAACATTGAGATACATGTACACTTTTATTGGCTGCCGTATGCAGAATCAGAAACTTGAGAAGGTAACTCGTGTCCATCTGTAATAGGTCTGCCGCGTCACAGATCTTCAGCAGAGCAGTTGACACCCACCTGGAATGAGTGTCCCTGATTTGCACAGATCTGAAGTTTCTTTGAATCAGGGTGCTCTTTGAGGGAGAAGCGCTGCTTGTCATTACTGGTAACCACCCTCTTGATGTCACCCACAGTGAAATGACTGAACATCGGATGAGCTAAGAGATCATCCACATTGATGAAGCCTCCTAAGGTAAAACAACAATCCCGAAATATGCTGGTAAATACATTGATAAAAGGCAAATGCATAAAGGTTGATTGAAACTTAGCCTACCCAATTCATTAAGTACAGGTATTACCAAATGTAAATTTTGGTCAATGCACCAATAAAAGAAATTTTCAATTCCTGTTTAAAACTTAACCAGATTCAATAATCTAAAGAAATCAAATCAATGCAAAACTTGGGCTTAATACTGTAACTATCATAATCGAATGCAAGATACTGCAGAAAGCAAAGTACATGTAAAACTAAAGTATAGGGTTTTCAGGTCAAACATCCACATTACTAGGCGGAATATCAAATTAGGTATTTAAAATGTCAAAAGGCCAACCAAACGTCCACACAATAGGATAAAATCCACCAAAAGTCCACCTGACCGCGTCGATATCACAATCGATAATTCACGCCACTAGGGAAATCAAACATCCACATAAAGAAAATTGTTATGTACCCAAGTGACCACTGGTGCATAACTTCACTGATAGGTACATCAAACACAGCATTGGTCATTCAAATATCCCAAGCAAATGTTAGGTAGCTATCGTGTTGAAGACTCTAGAAGTTAAGCACAATGTGCCTTACTAGAAGATTCCTGACACTGGCAAGCAGTGACTTCACGATAGATGTAAAATTTCATTTAAAAATAACTTTGGAATATTTTTTGAAATGGACATTAATTACCTCATGTAGAAGGCATTTCAAAGACTGATGTAAAGAAAGGAAATAAGCCTTAGTAACAATTGGTTTTAAAAATATGTACCAAGATTCTTGGGTGAAAGTATCATCTCAAATCCTGATCATTTCAAACATCCACTCATTTAAAATCACTATGTAACACTTGATTTCCCTAGTGGACGTTTGCTTTTTCTATGTAGATATTTGACCCATCCAGTGGACATCTGATTGACCTATTTGTATATTATGATACTTAGTGGAAATCTAAATGACCGACTAGGACTCCACATCATATTCTTGACATATGATCTGTCTATGTTGATGATTACTGTACATGTGTGGATATCTGACATGAAAAACCTATAAATGGACATCAAATGGAATAATGTTAATGGTTAATGTTGAATAAATACTAACCATCCTCTGAACAAGTGTCAATGTGTAATTTATCAAGAATAATGCCCTTTTGTCACCCATCATCTTTATTCAAATTTCATCATGACCTTAATTTGCAAGCGTGGTGGAGATCAGAGTGAAATCCTTACAGTTATGTTGCACTGAAATACGACCATCTTCAGAAACTCACAAATATCTGCAGGCTAGTGATCACATTCTGTCTCAGACTGATGAAGTACAGTAAGGATTAGGTTAGGACTGAAGATTTGGGTTAATGTTGGTTGACAGAGGAGTAACTTTAAGGGCAGAGTACCAAAAAGAACAACACAATCCTACCTGAGTCAATATCAAAGCCAAGTTCCACTGCTTTGTGTCGAAGCACAAACGTCAGTTTCTTTGAGAGATGAACATCTCTACTCCTCTGCAAGACAATGCAAAACTCCCCAAAACATTAAAAGCCACTTTACCCGGTCCATTTACTTCTTAAGTTGTATGCAGTAAGTTTCACTTTATTATATTAAAGATGTCGCCATAGAACCAAAGATAAAAGTTCTATATCTAGACATCAATAATTTGCCCTTTCAGTGGCTTACGATCAGAAAGTGATAAAATGTCCTGAAAAGTCTTATTGAGCAGGGAAAATGCTGAAGTCTTTAATTAGAAAACATGAGACTTTCAGATGCATAGAGTTTGCGTAAAGACTTCTACGGGTTTCTTCAGGCTTGCGAGAGTGCCCAAAGGGCACTTTTGAGGAATCCTTGGTGTTACTACCAGAAGTGATTAAGCCCCTTATAAATAATAATAGTATTAGTTGGTGTGATGTTTCCTGATGAATGCCTTGCCAACTACTGTACATGTTCATGATTCAGATTCAGTCATGGTTGGAAGTCACAGCCCAACCTGCGCCGATGTGTCACTGCCACGTATCCCAAAGAACTGTGGGGTACATGTACGTGGCAGCCCCAATTGTCATGCTTATATTCAGATATTGTGTCCATGAAAGGCACGATTTTTCTTCTTTGGCAAGCCTTTTAATCTCTGAACAAGTAGTAACCATGCTTACCTCTGATCTTGACATCTCTTGATTCACTGAATGGGTGATGTCTGTTTACGCGATACGCGTCCCCTCACAAGTACACGTACACTATGCAACAAGTTGTACATGTGTTATGCAACCAGTCACGGAAGTCGTGGGGTACCCGAAGTCTTGTCGATGTAAACAAAGAAAGTGCGCCCTCAAGAGACCAACTTGCAAAACAGGTCTTTACCAAAATCCGTCGTCTGTACATGTGCCATACCCACGTGAAAAAAAATACCTCATCTTTGTCCGACGTCCCTGTGGTTAAATACTCAGACTTTTCAGAATAAGGGTCACAAGTGGAGCTAAAGCACAAGGGATAATCCCATTGTGCCCATCCCACCTTTATGCCCGAACTTTCCACTTTCCGAATAGCCACTTGATGTAGAAATGGGTAATCCTTAATGTTTAAAATGATACTCAAACCTTAAAGATACACTCTTATTACATTGTAATGCACTCATACCAGCCAACCTCATGGTCAGAGCAACAGACCTTATTATGCAACACCTGCATAAAATCCCCATCATCTGATTGGTGGACCGTTGCTCATATGGCATTGCATTAGTTGTACCAACACACAGCACGTGCATAACACGCACACAGAGTGCAAAAAATTAAACAAGCTCGGAATATCATGTCAGAAAATAAACAGATGGATTCACAGTCAGACAATCCTCGACTCCATGGGCTGTCTGCCATTCCGTCACTAGCCCCTGGTCATGTAGAATACGAAAATGACACTGATTGACCATTCAGGATGAATATACATGAACGTAAAGTCAGTTGCGTGTGTATTTCAAAAGCTGCATGCTTGCGCCCACGTACATATACTCTTGCATGTCATGCACACAAAAATCTGCATCGCTCATAAACACGCTGACTAAAGTCCTAATTTAAACATCCCAAATAGTAGGATATTTTAATTATACAATACCAGGGGTTAGATCGCGCAAGGCATGGTGGGAACCAACATGGCGCGGCAAGATCGTTCCCGTGGGAATGATGTTGCAGCTAGACAACTGCCAGTTTGAATTAGTTAATTAATCCAGCTGTACACAGAAAATCAAGAGACATGGACTTAAACAGGTGTTGTATAAAACAATGAATAATTGAAAAATGTTAAAAGACACCTAAATCTAATCCACGCTACAGAATCTTTAAGCAGTGGCAGTGCTACATGGTGTCATGTGGGTGCAAGGCACCCACTGAAAAGTTGCTTGCACCCACAAAAATTTTGTCACATATTACGACAGGGCGATCATCTTTTTGTTTTATGACTCTGCATCACAATCCAGGAAGAAAGAAGGATCATTTGTACCCATGCGATTCTACCTTGCCCCACACTTGCATCCACAGCCGAGGTCTGGTGCCGCTACTGTCTTTAAGGTCCATAAAGGATCTATGCATTTGAAAGGAGGGAAGACTCATATCTTCTCCACAGATGTAGAGTCACAACTGTGAACTCTCTCCCTCAAGGAAAGTACAAAGTATCAAAGGCTTAGAGGATGCACAGGATGTAAGAGGAGTCTTACAGGACTTTTGGTTTGAACCAAACATCAATGTAGATTTTTACTATTCATCAAACCAATAATATATCCTGGCCATATGACTACCTCTACCTCTTGATCCCTTGACATTTTTATTATAATTTATAGCACAGCATCAGGCAAATTATGACATACAACACACATTTCTCTTTACAAAAGTTATTACTTTTTGTAGATTCCCAATCTCATTTCCCCAATGACAAAACTGATTCTGGAATGGAGACATTGAACAAAAGGCAGACAAAGGCATTTCAAACAGGTTTTTGCACCATTTTAGACAATCCTCAAAACTTAAATTCTTGTACATTTCCCCTACTTACATTTCCAGAGCAACTTACAAAACTTACTTTTTCTGAGTTTTTAACAGGAAGAAAGTTCAGTACAAAAAGTATTCATGATGCATTCACAATGTATACCATGCAAAGTGTGACTCGTTACAACAAAATAAGTGTGAAGTTGCATCCTGCTCTTTCCTATTTTGCAGGTTTAAAGTTGTATCGAAGTGGAAGTGAATTCTGGGGTTTTGTAATATTTGGAAAGAATAACCCGTTTCCAAATATTTTGAAGGATCATATGTTTAAAAATGTCATTTTCTCAGTAATTTTGAACATGGCTTTATTTGTGCCTAATCAGGAATGTTGAAACAATGTCGTGAACAAAGACGTAAAGCTGCCAGAATAATGCCACATTGTCACCTTATACTTTTACCCTCAGTGTTCCATGTAAATGCCATTGGAGAGCTCTTTTCTGCAGAATTCAAATATACCAGTATCTCAATTTTCGAAAATTCTGACTTTAAGCTCATTTTGTGGTGACAGGTGACAAACGGTAGTCCTTTTCACTCAGTAAGTCCACAGAAAATTAAAGTAAATCTTGTTGCATAAAAGAATCACAATCAAAGCCTAAATATAATAAAATATAATCCTTCCAAGAAATTAATGTCTAAATCCACTTCAAAAGCAGAAACTGAGTACATGTCGTAGAAAAGATTTCCTCCAATCGTCACGTAGTATTTGTGTTTTCCTGAACAAAACTATGTACAAATTGATTGACTCATCTCTCAGCACGCATTGTGCAAGACACACTATCATTACAAACTAATAGCCCCCCCCCGGTCTACACAATAGAACAATTCATTAAGCTTTAACCATGGTCTTTCAACCAATCACAGCTGTTAGCTATGTTCCACATGCAAGCACAGAAGTCTGACATGCTTGCACACCTACATGATGCACGCAGCTGCAGCGTGGCACTGAACAGAAGTATACATGTATGTCAATTGCCCATGTGAGCGCACAGTATACAAGGCTCAATGGATCAGTCTATTCCTGTATTGGGCTGTGGCCAATTACACAGAGTTGCTGAGGATAAACATTTGCTAAGCACTGAAGATGCTAGCTCAGCAATAAACAGTAACCAACCAAAGTTTCATGCAATCTTCATTTTTGAGTGACTGGTTCCCCGCTGGTTTTGCCCAGCCCAAAAACTTGCTTGAGCCATGTCCAAATTGCTTGGCTGTGGCTTAAAGTAATGCACAACTCTTTGGGTAGTGGCTGTAGCTACTGTCATAGACTTGTGTGTTATTTCAAGCCGCAGCCAAATGATTCAGACATGGCTTCACCAAAATTTTCTGCTATTTGCCCTGGTCACAATGCCAAAGTGTCTCTACAACAGATCTTTTTTCTGAAAAACAGCTAGCTGCGACAACGCCAGATTTCCTCAAACAAATTGGAAGTTGGCGTGTTGTCTCTCATCCCACAATGCGCTCCATCTGTTCGTATCCTGCCCGCACAATGAACTGAAAGTTGGCATTGCCCTGAAGAGGCTGCAACTCGTCACTTGCAAGAAGGGCATCAACATCCGGAAGATAATATTCCAGATCAGCACCTGGAGGGGGGGGGAATGTGAGCTGAGAATTGAGTTGATTACACAAAACTGCTTATGCATTTTTGTAAGGGACCTTCCTAAATACTCTTGAATGCTGCCTTGTACTGGAACTTAACGACAATCTTTAGTTATCTTTTATGAGGCATTGGTATAGGCATGATATTTGACTCAGAGGGGAAAAATAGGAAACAATTTCCAGCACAACCCAAAGGTATGACTGCAGTATAGAATGTTGGAAACGAAAAGAGAACAAAATTCTGTAATCCTCTTGAAATAGGGAAAGTATCATTCCTGTTATTACAATAACCCAAACAGTTCATTTAATGGGTATATTGCTATAAAGGTTGCTATGCACTAACTAGAAAAGAAAGTAGAGAATGGGCAATAAAATAACCCCAAAATTTGAATCCTACAATAAACGGTTTTTAGGTAAAGTTGTAAAATGATCAGACTTCTCTGATATCTTGACATAATAGGGGAGATTCACAGAAGTGCGCCTCCAAGAGTTTGCAACGTGTTGACCCATCACAGTGCGCAAATTCTGTTCACCGAACGCTCGTTTGGAATGGGTCGACAGATTTTGCGCAGTAATTGGTCAACACTTTAGAAACTCTTGGAGGTGTACAATTGTGAATCGCCCGTGATAGGAAATAAATTCTACAGATATGCCACCACAGCTTAACCCTAATAGAGCTGGGACTCCCCCCCCCTCGATATTTCTTTCAATATCACTGCAGTTTATTCTCATTCAGGAGCTGAGCCTTTAGGAATTCTTAGAGTAACTCCTTGTGGTCATTTTGACACAGATTTTGTGAAACTAGAACATACTGTTCTTGCATAGCACATTTTTCCGAGGTAGGTTAGCCAAAAATATGTACTTTTTCACTGTGGTGCTCAATGCACGTGGGCTGGCACGCATGTAGCCTTGAACTTCAAATGACCTCAACAAAACCATATGTCTGACTGGGCTCAAACTTTGCATCTCTAATAAGGAGTGTCTTTACGGCAAGTAAAGTTGCAAAACAATTGAGCACGGCACCCCCATCAATTTGAATTTTGGTGTCTGTAAGAGTCACTTACCAGATTCCAGGATTAATCTGGCAATTCTAAAGAACACGGTGTTTTCATAGTGTTCAAGGGGATCCACTCCTGTTCCTCTGTCTGCAGACCAACTGCAAAAGGCAGAAACGAAACCCCCAATTTGAGACTGAAGAGGTTGTTAGGAGAATTTTGAACATGATAAATGTGCATCAAGACTAACAAATGGGGCCCAGAATAGTTTTGCTTTCGTATATGACCCAGTTTTGAAGGAGGTGAACACACAAATATAAAAGTTATGTCAGGTCAAGATCGAAATGCAAAACAATAAAAGATAATTGCAGCATGATTAGAAAATACCAGTTCTACTTTCTGCGATGTGGTACTATCTCTACACTTGTGTCCGAAGTCACACCTGCCACCTTTGAATCACCACCAAGCAAAGACTTTAAGACCCCTCTGAAATACAGAGGACAGCAGCACTACCACAAACCGTGGAATTTACACTTACTCATCTTTGAGTATGGCTTTACTCCATATACTGAGCCTCAGGAGGTCAATCTTTGGATCGTCATCCTGGAGAAAGAGAAAGTTGAGACTATGAAGTGTAACATCACTTGCTGAATGAGATTCACTTTCGTTATTTGTAATCAAAACAACTGAAAAAATATTCCGCTGATGATAGTTTTAGGCTTGTGCCGACAGAGTATTCAGGAAATAGGACTTTCTTTTGAAATTTAAGTTGGTTTGATGGTTTGGAGTAGGTAATAAACTTTGGATGCTGGCTGTAATGGGAAGCTACAGCCGAGCTGTTTGGAGCTTACAAACAGTATCAAGCATATCCAGAATACATGATAATTCCATCTTACCTTGGGAACATATTGCAAGAGATCAAGGGCCTTCTTGAAGTCAAACTCATTAGCTTCAGTGTTCTTCTCGCTGATGTATAACTGCAAAAGTAAGAATATTGTGTCAAAGATTTTTTTACAAGTGGTAAGAACAAAGGGCCTTTGTACTTTGGGGTCGTCCATGAAGTACATGTGCTCGAAGGGGAGGGGGGTTTGAGCCAGCACGTACCATACACAAACCACAAATTTGCCTTTAATGAAGCTTCACCATATCAATGCACTTTCTCAAACAAATACCAGAATCAGCTTTTCTGAATCGAAGTTCAAACAAATTATTCTCCACCGTCCACCCCATCATTCATTCTCCTGTGCCAACGCCCATTATTAGTAAACCGCAACATTACTCATGACGCAAAGACCGGCAGCATCTTCTGGAATTGTGGAATGTGGAGGCGTATGGGGGATTCCTGAAGTCAGCATTTGTGTGTGCGTACTCTATGGACGGCCCCTTTTCTCTTTTGTTGATTAACAAAAAAAATTACACAATTTCAAAACATTTTTATTTTGGTATACTTATTTGGTAATTAATGAGAAATAGGAAGAGAGCGACAAAATAATTACAAAACGTGCTTAATGTTTGCAAGCCAACATTGCCATGGATAATTTTGAGAATGTGACTTAAGATTTAATTTGGTGTTTCAAAGCACTGATCTAAATGATATTTACATATTACACGGTTCTTCAGCGTGCATTGTCTGAGTGTCACCTGTGTCTGCGACTGTACCTCAAACTGACGAAAATCACACAAGACTTGTACTAGGATATATAACCCAAACGAACTACAACAAAAATAAAATTAACATCATCAGGCCATTTACCCAGATAAGTTGCTCGGGGTCAATGACCGGCAAATCCCCTTCATTGTTGTACAGCTCCATTTTCTATAAAATAAGACGACACAAACCCGAGTGTTAAAACGCAATCCTTGAGAAAAATATTCACATACTGAAGCGAAAACAATACATTTCACATGAGACGCAATTACTTTTGTTTGCACACAACCTCCACTTACTTCCACTAATTCTTTAGGCAATAGCTCCTGGTTAAGTATGACGTCCAGTTCACTGTTGATATCTGTCAGAGAGAAACAGCAGCCCAGAGTTCAAAGTCAACAAACTTTTCAAATACTGATTTCTTCTACATAACCTTCCAAAGATGAGAAACTCCGAGTCTACCAAACAAATTAAAGACTCCAAGATACAATCTCAATGACAGGCAGCAATAACTAAGTGGGTAACCTTACACGCCATCTCACTTCAGCAGCAAACTGCTGAACAAATGAATGTCAAAACTGCCTGTGGAAATTGTCCTGTGGCAAGTCAGTAAAAGCAGTACATTGTTGCAGCCTTTTTGTTGAATAGTTTCCCCTTTACATCTCATGTCCCCAACCACCTTGTTATCAGTGATATACTGCAGTTTCTAGAGAGCTCAGATGAGGTATCGACCCTGAATCCCATGTTGAGTAAATTGCATCAACAGTGGAAAATTTGGGACTTAAAGAGTCAGGTGCATCTCTAAAAGAAATTAGAGCAAGTGATAACTTCTGAATTCACTACTATTTTGTGGGAGGCCACATGATCTTTGTACAGGATTTCAGCAATGATGACATCATGAGTCTAAATATAGCTACACATCTATCCATTCAACAGAAGCATACCTTCAAGTTCTGCCTCAGGTACTTCCTCACAAGCCAAAGCAGTCAGTTTACTCAGACTCAGCAACGTCTGGATACAACAACCAAAGATGAGTTTTCATGTCGTTCCATGCCATAATTAAATATCAAGACCTCATTTGTCTGTCACTGCTCAAACAGAAATGACAACATATTCCTCAATCAAAGAAACAAGGAACGTTTTACTTTCCATGTTAACAGGCATGCAACTTGGGCTTTTACAAAAATTAGGAAGTTCCAATCTTTACAAGACTTTGTAATGTATTTCAATTTTCAATGGCACGAGTGTGAAGTGAAAAACGAGGAAATCAGCTGATCCGAGGAAAAGTTGCCTGTCTTTGTTTACCTCGGGTTGTTGCCGCAGTCACAAAAATCTGGTCAAAAGAACATGTTGTGCGAACTGTGGAACTGTTTTGGATTCATGGTTCCAGCACACAGCCACTTCTTGAGGTCAAGCAATGCCACCCCACATTGCATCTCATAAACACTGATTAGAGATACATACATGCACTTCTTTTCCCCTCTCTGGCTTTCTTAAAATGAAAAAGATGGATTGAGAATCATACATGACAGATTAATGAAGAATGTTTACTTTTTTCTTAGCCAGCGATAACGTCTCTTTTGCAGACAGCCGCTTCAAGGTTTCCTGTGCCTGTCAAATTTACAATGGAAAGACAGCAAAATTGATACGAAAATTCTGGTGTCACATTTGACTGCTTCCAATAAATGCCAGTACTCTAAATGCAAGCACATCTAAATTCAGTAAAACTATAAACGTGTCCTCATTTGCAGACTGTCCACAAACTAGGTACGGCCAAACTGGCAAGTTATTTGTCGGTAACAAAAGGGATTTTGTGGATTTGACCATGCTTGGTCAAAGAGAGAATTTTTTGCATCGATTTACGCACTTATTACCCATAAGTAGATATAACACCATCACCACCAGAACCCACTCAACTCTAGTGTTCTCATGGATTTGGGCCCAACAAACAAGCCTCTGTTAGTTGGGGATTTATGCCTAGGCTAATTCGGCACTACACCTCAGTACAAAGGGTGTACAAGTTGACTGCCTCCTAGATTAGGACTCTGACAAAATCATGAGAGGTTTTCAGTGGGATTGGGGTTGATTTAGATGGAGGTGATAAGAGAGTGATTTGCTGAAGCCCTAGTATCCCCGGCAAAAACTTCAACTTCTAAGAAAAAAAGTTAGCCCTTTTCTTCGGTACTTTTCTTCAGCAGTCAATTTTCGCACCCTGGGATTATGCTCGACATAAAGAGTTCCACCGTACCTTGGAGTAGTCTTTCACTTGCACATAATGAAGCCAACTGAGGTGGTCATGAGCCTGCAGGAACTCACTCAGCTCGGCATGCTGCGTGAAGCGTTGAGATAACAACTTGCCACGCTTACCTGTCACACAAACCGATAGGAAAGTCCTGTTACTTCACAAATAACACCAATTTAATATTAGTCCAATATTTGAAACACCCTTAATGCCTTGTACACAAGGCATCTTATGCCATCACAGCCACCATAAATCAGTTACATTTCTTACCTTTATCCATGTAGTATTTAAACACAAAATCAGAAAACCCCTGGGGAAAAAGAGAAAAAGTTTGTTGTTATTTTTTTTGTTAGGGTAACAGGTAATCTAGTGCTAGGACTTGCCAAACAAGACTGAGAGCTAGCTTTGCCAGAATTCAATCCCATTGACGACTCTGCTTGGCTTTCATTCAAAACCAAGTGAACCACTCAATTGAGAAGCTTGCCACGGTTTAACAACAGACCAAATCAAATCTGATACAGTGTGTGGTTTAAGGCTGCAATTAAGGATGGGCTAAAAATTTTCTATTTTGTGCAAAGCCTTATTTGAAGCCCTCACATCCCTGAAATATTCCAATAAACATCACCGACTCCAACAGATGCCCATTTTAAGTACACAGTCTGCTTGGAATCTACAGGAGGCCATAGTGAGTCTTGTGCCCAATGCATCTGCACATGTTCGTAACATGTCATGGATTCCAGTCCTGCCTAATGCTCATATTAAAGCTCCCTGAAAGCCCTCAGCACATAGTTTGTCCAACGATTTCTAAACACATCCCAAACAAATGTTTCTGACCTCATCTTTGCCTTGAGAAAACAGCAGAAATCTTGTTGTCCGTGCGGTAACTTAGGTTCACCTGATTTTTGGTAATTTTTTATCTCATGATAATAATCTCAGCCGGCAGGAAAACCTTGCAGGGGAGAAAGAAGAGATGACCACCTTGGTTGCGAACTGATTCATGTAGCGCTGTAGTCTCTCCTCGTTACTAGTCACCTCACACAGAGACACCAAGATGCCGAAGTCGCAGTACTTCTCAGCTAGAGATGCTGCTCTCTCATACTGACCCTGCTCCACTGATGGAAAACAAACAATGGGTGTAAACATCAGAGATCATAAGGTTGACTACAGACCAGTGTTGTAGTCAAGACCAGGTAGTCCGAGACCAAGACCGAGACCAATAGACCAAGACCAATAGACCAAGACCAAGGCCAGCCCAGAAAAAGTAACCCGAGACCAAGACCGAGACCAAGACCAGCCGTCCGAGACCAAGACCGAGACCAAGACCACATTTATAAATTAATGGATAGAAATCATCTTTGTACATTGACACAAAGACGTATAGCTATACACAGCACGACATGTATGTGTTAGTTTGACAGAATTGTCCTGGAATTACAATAGTTTTTTCTTGTTACTTTGCAGTTTGAATTCTTCAATGATGTGTTTACTTTTTGACCAGCTCCGAATGTCGCGACATGCATATTGCATGCAATCAATGCAACCTAAAGATGCTATAAAATTAAAATAAAATAAAATTTCCTTTCCAACTGTTTTATTTCTCATTCATCAACACTTGGGAATTTCACTTTTTGGCTGGTATGGCAGGCAGCACATGCATGTAATCCATCTGTGTTAAATGTAATGACAAGGTTTACAAGGAGACAGGCCTATAGGATTTACATGTACTTTGGGCAAGTGAGTTTGCAAAATAAAAATATCTTGAAGTAGGAAAAAAATTCATATGCAACAAGTATAAAAAATAATGGGGCCTAAATAAAAAATAAGAACAAAAAATAACGGCACTTCATAAATTTATGCATTTCAGCTCAATTCATTTTAAAATGATAAAATTCAACCAATTTATTTTCATTTCAAACTAGGGACTGTAATGCAAACATGGCATCACATTCCATTAAAAATCAAACACGAAACAGTTTTTGATTGTTTGAACATTTAAGCCTTAAATTTAGATTCTTTAAAATTTCAACAAACATGAGGACTGATAGATCACTCCTACAAGTAGCCTGGCACACGCGACTGTACATGTACGTACTTCACGGGGTGATGGCAGGCGCATGTTAGATGAAGGCAGATGTTGTTCCTGCCTTATCGCTGAAGCTGGATTTTTCGTGCAAAAATCACACAGCAACATCTTTTTTGCTTCCCGTTTGACACCAACAAATTCCTTGTGGTAGTTGACTGCATAATGTATGATTGCTGAATTGCCAGACATGATAGCCGGAAAAGACCTTCCAGTAATCATGACATCAATGACTTGCGCACCACCAAGGCAAAGGCACGCAGCGGCACACGTTGTGCCAAAAACGGAATGGTGTCTTGTTAGTCAAGTTTGAGATCAACAAACAGTGCATAAATAAGCATCTAGTTACCAGACCATGCAATGTGACTACGGGTTCACAGGTACCCCGACGACAACAAATTATATACATGTATCTTTTTACGGCCGTTAACCAGTGACAATTATTTTGGTGGCTGTCACAGGCTATCTTCTTCCTGGTGCAAGCTTCAACTTTGCGTGCGCAAGTATACCTGCGAGTGTGAAAGCTTTAAACTTTGGCCGCGCAAGTTTTAACCTTGGGTGCACACGTAATTTGCGCAAAGGGTGAAGTTTGCGCATGACACGCTACTGCCAGCTGTAGCCACAATGAACACTCGTATGTACAGTCCTTAACGGCCGTACCTACATCTTGCCGGGTCTCGATTCAAGTTTTTCGTAGGCCTAGAAACAATCGAAATTCATCACCAATCAGGTATAAAAGTTTCTCGGCCGAAAATCCTGAGAACAAGAGGTGCGAGATCAAGACCAAGACCGAGACCAATTATTCGAGATCAAGACCAGCATGTTCGAGATCAAGACCACGTTCAAACTGGTCTCGAGACTCGAGACCAAGTCCAGTCTCAACGGCTACAACACTGCTACAGACTCTCCTGGAGTACCCTATTTTCTGGTCAGTCGGAAGAGCTGAGTTTCGAGGTCAATCTTCTCATTTAAAGTTGACAGAAGGCCACTTGATCTCTTCATGACAAAATCTCTAAACATCTAAATATGCTGGAGACAAAACCAAACTCAAATTTGGACCAACTTACAGGCAACCAATTTACATTGAGGCCAACTCAACCTGTGCCCTACTTTTAATAGCCTAAAATTACATCAAGTGCACATGTGAGTGGAATATAAAAAAAAGTTGAGAATAGCTGAAATCGCGAGCACGAAGCATATACAGTGTGGGGTCCGGGGCTGAGGGCCAGGGCCCGCTTAAGGGCCCCAGGAAAATTTTGAAATGTAGATGCTCTGTGGTACAACAGCATCCTGGTGCAACCACTGACAATTTCTTCCTTGCAATTTAGGCTATGCATATTTTTAATTTAACTTTCTCTTCATATTTGTTTGAAATTCCTGAAGAGGTTAAAATGAATGGAAAGAGTTACATATACGGATAACGCACTAATTTTCCCTGAAAAGTGTATAACAGCCATCAGAAAGAGAAAACATGTCCTAAAAGTGAAAACTAGCTGTAAATTGTAAATATTGAGGTTTGTAGAGCGAGTCGGCCCCATTCCAACCTGATCTGAGCATGTTTTCAAAATCTCAGTGCTGTTCTAACGCACATTGCGCGTGTAGGCCTACATCGCATGTCCAGGCTTTAGGATTGTCCGGGAGCAGACCGTGTTGCCTGCCCATCACGTCTACAGTGTATTCCATTCACGTCCATTTCCACGGATTAGTAACTTGACAATCGGTCTTATCAAAAGCTGTATCCAAGTTAGAGCCTCTTTGGACAATTGTACATATGTCTTGCACTGACATTTTGATGAGTTAATGTTAAGACAAAACGAGGAAATCTGGAAATTTGAACTTACACAGTGGCATGATGAGTGCATGTCTCTCCTGGTGGTACTTCTGCTCCAGCTCTTCATACTCTACACTGTCTTTGCCGGAACTCAAGCCAACAGATTCCAGCTGGGTCACGTACCCTTCCAGGATCAGGTCCGTCAACTCCATCACCTGCTGATAGAGGGCACCGCGTGACTGAACATCTTCGCTGTTGGGAATTCCTTGCTCTAGGGTGATTCGGTGCTGTACAAGGGTTGACGGATGAGAGAAAAGATAACGAAAACAGAACAAGAGTGACAAATATGAATCCCATTCACTGTGACACAAATATGGCTTAAATTCTTGTTAACGGTAGTGTCTGAAAAGTTCAAAATAATGGGCCAGTGTTTTATGTAACATTGGGCCATGTATCAGGCATTCAATGAATGAAGCGCTTCATAATTGAACAAAACCCATTTTTATTCTAAGTTGAACGACAAACTGAAATGGACACCATTGGTTCAAATTGCAGACATTTTGCCAAAAACAAAAGCACTTCAGACATTCCTGGTTCTGTTTGCAGTTATTGCTGAAAACTGCCAAAATGTAAACCCTTCAATGACAAAATGCTGGGATAAATATTGTGGATGAAACTCAAACACCAGTAACTGCACCAGTTACTGCACCAGTAACTTGAAATTAAATCTAATACATCACACAACCATGGCAACAATCATAATGTGAAAGAAATGCTCTCTGTTAATTTTTCACAACACTATGTTGGAATGACAAACACGTACTACAATTTTTGCATTCCCTCCTTTTTAAATTTGACAATTTGATTTCGGTGAAGGCAAGTTCATGCTTCAATACCTGTTGTACTAGGAGACTTCGAATGCCTTTTGGTCCAGCAGATGCTGCAAGTAAACAAAAATTACAAATCAACCAACAGTTTCAAGCATTTCAATTATGCAGCGTATTTCTTGTTAATATACAGTTATTGACAGTTAATGTTAATAAAGTCTACAACATAAAGTCATTTTACTCAGTAGACACTATTGTGTATTAAGGAGCTGACAAAATTATGTTCAAAAGAGAATGACTTCCAACTAACTGTGGCCAATGAGAGAGGAAATCTTTTCCTTTCAAGAATATGCATGAGGTGAAGTAATTACAAGGATCAACCTACCTGTCCATGGAATGTACTGTATCGTGGGATTGGATGCTGGGCCACTGTCAGACTGGTATATGAGGGCCCTGGATTGTCGCAAGTGCCAGGCCTCTTTGAGCATGCCCTAATGGTGAATAAGATACCAACAAAATCTAAGAGAGATTCAATATTTGCTGACAAACAGCAGATGTCATGGACCCAGGTGGCAGGCAAAATATCTCACAATATCGTTGCATATAATGTTATTATTTTATTAATCTAGGGCCATTCTGAGGTTAAGCATGTAAGGATGTTTGGTAAACACAGAAAATACCACAAAATTAGGGCCGCGTCAATTTGAATAATTCACTATTTGAATACAACAAATTTTGCGTGTGAACACTAGGGTTACATACCTGGAGGATGGTGTTAATGTTCTTGATCATGCTAACGATATCAGAGGGTGTCAGCTCAGTGGACAGAATGTCCTTTTCCTGCTCGACCAGGTTCTCTATGATCTCATGAATTCCTGAAACCTGATCAGATATCCAGTTTTATCCAGTTTACAGCTTCGCTTGTAATTAAATTTACAATGTAAATTACCAAAAACAGCGCAACTGCACACTGGAAAGCATTACTGACCAGTGTAATGCGAAAATCACAAAATTAATCCGATAGATGTAACATCTTTTGAAGGATCTTTCCAAAAAGCTATCACCTTACTTCAAAATTTTATTTCATGAAATAACAGATTCAGTTTCCTTATCAACTAGACATGAGCAAGACAGAGCATTGTAGGAGTATTCAAAAACAACAAACTCCAAAACTTCCATTTTTTCCATAAGTAGTATCAAGAATAATCAAACTTAAAACTTAAGCAATAAAAACTGCCCCTGAACCTAACGCTAGATAAGGAAAGTGACCATGGTATTTAAACTCACTTCTCTGTAGAAGACATCTTGAGGAGTAAGGCCTGCTGGGGTGTGTGTCTGCCCACGCTTCTGGAGGACTTTACTTATGGCTCCATCGACAAGATTTGGGAACCTGGAATCAAAGAGGGTTGTACAGCTTTACTATACGGCAGTTACTGGACTATAGGAGGGATAGAATACTGTGATGGGTGTGGACCATTCAACTCTTCCAGCCTAACACCCTCGGGAGTTCTTTCAGCAACCTTTCTGAATCCTCCCGAATCTTTCCACTCTGCGAGCAACCAAGGGCACATTCTTGGTACTTCAAGCTTTAAGGACCACCAAGTAACAGTGGATGGCTCTATCTTTCTGAAGTGTGCAAAATATTCCCAGACCCCCTCATGGATTTCAAAGGATAAGGGAGGGTTAATCTTTTTTACTCAAACAAACATGAAGCCCACTACCATGACATGAGAGAAGTTGTCATGCATTATCTGCCAAAAAAACCCTGTTTCACATGCACTCCTTCCCATACAATCCCATCTCTCCAACACACTAAAGCCCGACAATGCTATCCAGTGATGATCAAAATCTCTTAAACATTCAATTCAGCAACTTCGATTTAATTTGCTTAAAGGAGAAATGTATTAGAAATCAGATTACATGGTATGGTGGCTGCGTAATGCCATTGCAGCGGCCAATTTCTCGGCGTGTTCACACAGCAACAGGTGGGTCAATAAGGGACTCTCTCTAATAATCACTGAGTGAAGCTGTAAGGTG